TTGAGTGTACATGAATTCTTCTTTAAATATGGACTGATTTTATGTCTAATATTTTAAGGGTTACATACCATTGTTGTATATGACCAGAAAAATCAGATGTTAAACTCTAAAATTGTTCTTAAAATCCTTCAATAGTGTACCCTTGCTCTTGATAAAAGGTGCAACACCAGCCAAGTGGCCTTTAAAGCCTGCAAGTCCAGCCCCTGCTTACCTCTCAACCCCTCTTCCCTGTGCTCTCTGTGCCTGAGACTCAGAAGCCAGTTTTCAGTCCTCCCTCAGGACCTTTGCACATGCTATTTCCTCTGCCTGCAGCTCTCTACCTCTTACTTTACTGCTACTTGCCTTTTAGAGGTCTTAAGGTCAGAGGTCAAGCAGCACTACTCAGAGTTTGAACTGAGTCATTCTTTGTGCTGGGGACTGTCCTGTGCATTGTAGGATAAGTTCCTGAGAATGTGATAAGATTCAGGCTCGTGAAGGACCTTCTACCAACTTTTCTACATCTTCATTCATGGGATAAAGTGTTAAATACTGTCCCCCTCCCCACCCACCCATCCCTCAATCTTTCTTTGCAGAATCCTATTCTCAAGTCTCATCTCTCTCTCTGCCTCACAAAGCCCAGCTGTTTTGACAGGCACAATGACCAGGGAGAACTCAGAAGAACCTGGAATTAAATAATGCCCCGACAGGATGAGTTGTTACAGTGTCAAGCATGGCAGCGAAGAGGAACTCACGCACATAGTTTTAGCTGCGTGGGGTCTGTAGGTGTTGGGGGTCTTTAGATCTTATCACCACCATTTTTCAGATAAAGAAACAGGCTCAAAGGGATTAAGCAACTGGCCCATGATCACACTGCAGCTAAGAGATGAGGCTGAACTGTGAACCCAAGTTCCCTGTTCTTCCCCAGGTTAGCTGCGTGGGGTCTGTAGGTGTTGGGGGGTCTTTAGATCTTATCACCACCATTTTTCAGATAAAGAAACAGGCTCAAAGAGATTAAGCAACTGGCCCACGATCACACTGCAGCTAAGAGATGAGGCTGAACTGTGAACCCAAGTTCCCTGTTCTTCCCCAGGGGAGTGCTGGACTCACCCCTGAGAAGATGGCTGGAAAAGGGGTGGTGCAGGGGGTTCCCCCAATGTGGCCCGTACACTGGTCAACAAGGGCAGAGTGTGAGCCCTGCAGATTTTGGTGTGGGCTTTCAATCCCAGATTTAACTCTGCCTGGGGGTAAGGAATTTTTCCCAGTAAAAAGTTGGTTGTTTCAAAACTTCCAATTTACTTTGTCCTGGGATGGTATTACTCTGGGGTCTTTTCTTTTCAGAATGGGAAATAAAATCCTGCCTAGAGGCTTGCTAAGCGGAAGAGGCTTAGAATTCCCCCTGGGCTGCTTTCTTCTTTCTCAGTTCTCTGCGGGGAGGGGACAGGGTCCTCTCCTCTGCCGGGTCTCCCCAGAAGCAGCACTCAGGGATTCTCTGCGGACCTCAACGATGTGTTTAGACTGTGCTGGGCAGAGACAGAGGATGGGGTGAGCGTGCTCAATGCCAGTTTGATTTTCATTGGCAAAGGAAGAGCACCAACGCACCGTGAGGTCTCCGGCGTGGGGCTGCGGCTGGTTGTCGGCCTTATGCTTTTTGTTGGAAGAGGCAGAAGTGAACAGACCGTTGCCATGAGGTCGGCCGGAAGAAGTTAAGTCCTCACTGGAGTATTTGTGTTTAGATGCATCGGAGAGGGGTGAGGTGGGTGACCGGAGCAGTTTTTCATTTTTATTTATTGGTATTGCCAAGCTGAAAAAGAAAATTACAGTAATGGAACGTCACACAGTCAGCACAGGGAAAGGGAATGTTTTACATGTGATCCAAATCTCCCATTCAAGACCTGCTGGTAGAAAGTTTACTGGGAATTATTATACCAGGAAACAACTTTATGGCATTAGGACCATAACAAACTGTAAGCAAATCTCATTCATTCTCTACTCTTCCTATCAGGATGAATAGTAATTCTGGAGTTAGTGCCAAAGTAAATGTCTAAGAATAGAAATACTTTCATTTTCTGAGCTTTTCATCCAAGGATCTCAAAATACCCAACAAACAACCTTTTTCCTAACAAGCGTAAACAGCAAGTAATGGGAAAGTCAATCAACAATGATAAATGAATTCACCATTTCTGAAAGGGCTTTTGCTAACATCTGAGCTTGTACTAATTATTATATAGAAAATAATAGAATCACAGAATAATCTGCTAAGCATGATGCCAACTTTGAATTACTGCGTTAATCAGGCATCGATCAGAACTCTCATTAGAAGTTACAATTTCTGATTCCTAGCTCTTTACTTTACCTTCAAAACTACTGAATATGCTTAAATATAATGTTCTCCAAAATCAACCATCAGAAGAAAGGAATTCACTTATATCTGAGTTTCTGCGATGTGCATTATACTGTTAGGGCTGTCTCTGCTACTTCCTTTAAAAAAAAAAATGTATTTTTTGGGGAAGACACAGTAGCCTGAAATTAACTGAACTACTGCTAACTGATAGAGTCAGTTAAAAAAAATACATAAAGCCACTTAAGGAAGATTTAGTCATGATTCCTGGGTTGTGATCTCTTAATTGCAGGTTTTGGTTATCACTGAAAACAAGCCATTAAAGTCACTTCAAAAAGCAATTTCCTTAGTTGGTGGTCACAGTGGAGAATTACAAATACAGGCCTCTAGAACAAATGACAAAACCAAGGTTCTTAATGTTATGCAAATAGATATCCATGGAGACAGAATTTCTGATGACAGATTTCTGGCTCCAAAAGCACTGTGGAAATCTGCTTTGGATGCATCAGAAGTGGCTCGTCTAGAGATGGTGAAGGTGTTGACGTTGAAGACGGATGTGAAGAGTCTGAGCATAATTGTTTCTCGAGCGAAAAAAGACCATTTTCCATCTCCATTACTTCACATACTACATGGTTTTTACTGTGAATGGAAAACTAAGTTATTACACTTCATGTTGTCACAGTCCTTTTGCTGCTTCTTCATCACTGCAAGTGTATCTTTGGAGCTCCTCTTTGGAGTTGGCGATCACCTTATCGCTGGGATTGTTTAATTGCACAATCTGCCAGTAGTTATCACAATTCCAGAGGTACAGAGACTGCCTTTCTCAGAAAATCCTCAAGTACCTGCATATGCATTGTGTCATTACTCGATGCAAATAAAACTATCAGAGCTAGGAGGCTGTGCCAGGCAGTCTCTAGAGCAAGATTTTTAACCTGGGATCCATGAACTTGGATGGAAAAAAGTTACATCTTCATTTTCACTAACCTCTCACTGAAATAGAACATTTCCTTCAATTACGAGTGAAAGCACGAAACCAGAGTAGTGGTTTAGTGGTTTAGCAGTATTAGCAATCCCTGTGATCGTGTTGCCAGTAGGAATCACAGATATTTTCACGTCCTATTACAGTTGTTGCAGACATCTTAAAATATTGGTTATATCACCATTACTTAGAAATTATGATAGCCACTAGATCAGCTAGAAAAGTTACTTAATGCATTAACAAAAAAGCACACATATAACCATACCCCACATCTGAAAAGTATTTGGGGACCCCATTTTCCCCATTCACATTTTCCCTATATTTGGGGATGCCATCCACTCTGCACAGAGGACCGAGGACCAGGCCGGTCTGCATGTGCAGCTTGCCCTCCTGCTCAGCGACTCCTTCCCAAGGTGATCCTGACACTGCAGCGGGCCTGCATGTGTGCCCTCGCTCTCCAATCTCCTCTCCGAGTTTTAGTACTGCTCTACATCTTTTCCTAACCTTTCAGTTTACAGTTTTATGTATAGTGCTGAAACATTCATCTCCCCTTAAAAATTCTATGTATGCAGCCAGGAAGAGTCAGGAGTGTCTTAGCAGAGGAAAAGTGGTTTCCGTGCACTGGTATGAGCTCCTGATGGAAAGAGCTCCTATGACTGATGATAAGCTACTCCTTTATAATAAAAATCTGGGAGCTTGCCTTGCCAGAAAGCCATTTATCACAGAGGGAATTCAATGCAAGGTGGGTCTATCTGGAACCCCTTCAGAGGAGTGACTGGTGGCAGTTGAACCTTGAAAGCACAGATCCTGTCTAATGCCACAATTTTAGTCTATATCGAAGAGCTTCAAGTGTATCACATGGAGATTCTGCCTAAAGTATATATTTATTCATCTGTGTAATAAGCTTAGTGTTCTTATGGGTTTAGCGGTATAGTGGTTTGAATATTCAGTTAATAAGTATTCTGGGGGAAGGCTGTATCTCTGGGGAGTGCAGAACTGTGTGTAACTAGCAACTGGTCTTTGGTTACAGAGAAGTACCTTACAGGGCTATGTGGAGCTGTGGCGCGAGGCACACGTCCAGCCATAATTGTAAGCCTTAGGTTGAACTGAGGGAGGCAAGTGTGCACACCCAGACCAGAGCATCATTAAAAAATCTGCATCTCCCCCAACATGGCACATGAGCTTCAGGTCCAGAGACCTTGCAGCTCACCTGCACCCTCGTGGGAACACACCTACCTGTTGACGTTCATGTTACAAGGGTTCGCAGACAAAGTATTATTGGCAGAGGCAGCCAGTCTCGAAGAGCTCTCTTTCTCTGTCTGGGCCTTCTTGATCTCCCTGTAGTCGTCTTCGTTGTCACACTGCACAAAAATAAGCAAAAGCCAATCAGCTTGGATTTCAAGGGATCATTACGTGCTCCTCGGCACCAACTTCCACAGAGCCAGGCCTCCTGGGAGACCAGCTCACCTGGTTTCCCCAGTGTGGCCTGAGCAGCAATGCCCCAGTATAGGTTCCCAGTCCACAATGACCAAGGATGAGATCTGCCCATTTACTATCGACAGCTTATTGAGAGGAAAGGTGTAATGCCATGACCAAGATTTGGGATGAAAACTGCTCCGGTATCCAAAGCAGACCTATTCCGAATTCACACTGTAGTGCCAACGTCACTCATCTGGGCATTTCCTGGTATCAGAACAAGGTATAACAAGCATGTATTCTATGGGCCTTATGCGGTAAGGGCAGGGGCAAGCTTTGTCCTTTCTGTTTTGAAATTCATGCCTTTTGTGAATTGCAAGCAGAAGTTGTTGCCTCCTGGTGCCTTGATTCTAGTTCACACTGATTATCCCATGACATCTTAGAACCCTTAAAGTAACTTTTTATGAAACAGTACTTTGATTGGATTCTTGGTGCCTGGATTGTGTTTAACTTTAGACATGTACGGGCCGAGCCTGTGGCGCACTCGGGAGAGTGCGATGCTGGGAGCGCAGCGATGCTCCCGCCGTGGGTTCGGATCTATATAGGGATGGCCGGTGCGTTCACTGGCTGCGCGCGGTGCGGGCGACACCACACCAAGGGTTGTGATCCCCTTACCGGTCACGAAAAAAGACACTCACACACACAAAAAAACAAAAAAACTTTAGACATGTACTAGGCCTGCAAAGCAAACACTATCAGCAAGGTACCACCACTTTCGGTGAGATAGCAGGAACCCAGCACACTATCTTCAGGGCTGTCTGCAGTATTTTCCAGGAGACAAATGTCAGCACCAAAGAGAGAAAGACTCTGACCTTCTCTCTCTAGCTGGGACTATGTAATTCAGCCTCTGCCACAGGCAGTCCCAGATGCTCACACTGTAATGTTCCTTGGAGGGATCAAACAAAAGCTCCAAGGAGTCTTCAGGGCTCCAGCAGGGTGAGACTTGGCACCTTGGACAGCCAAGTCTACGGGGTCCCACTTCCAGCACCCAGTACTAGAGTCTTAATGTCCTGGGATGCTGAATAAAGAGCACTACAAAAACATTCATTCTCTTCTCTTGTGTCTATGCTTAATGATGATTCCTTAGATTATGAGTAGAGCCAGGTGTCAGGGCTTAGTGGAGTGAAGTTTTGTAAGTTAAAATAAAAAGGCCATGAATAATACAACTATTTAAATATAGAATACTATGGGATTTATATGAATGTCTTTCTACACATTTCTCTCTCTATGTATCTATGAATGCCTATACAGCTATACGTATTTCCAATCTATCTATATGCTGACCAAAGTCAATCTCTGCATATTTCCTACATGTCTGTATCTGTACATGTTTCCATCACCCCATCCATTTACCCATTAATCCCAGAGGTAATGGCCACACTTATCCCCAGATGACTAACTGATCGGTTCCTTCATTCAACAAGAACTGAGCGCCAGTGAGCAATGAGAAAGGCAGGGTGTCTAGAGGAGGGGGAGGGAGGAAATGAGCCCACCTGTATCACTGACTTGGACTGGTTTCAGTACACCACGCGAACCCGACAACGCCCTGCAGAGATGTCACCATTTTACAGATGAAGAAACCGAAGTTCAGAGAAGGTAAGGTCCCTGATTAAGGTCACTCAGGAGGCCAGGGCTGACTACACAGATTTGGAGATCCAGCACAGAATGAAAACACTGAGCCCCTTGTTCAAAAACCAGGAAAGAGTGATGCTATGAAGTCCTCGAGCAGGAAGCACTCTCCTTTCTTTTGCGGTCTCTCTCTTGCCCTGTCATGGCGGTGTTTATCTGCTGTTTCATATTGTGGTCCTTCAGGAATGGGGATGCCTGGGAGGCGAGGGTAGACTCTCAAGGGCTTGGCCCACCTGCGTGGGTCCTCCCCCTCCCCCTCAATTGTGGGACCCACCTGTCATGCTGGGCCCTGGAGAGGAAGGCCGGTTCGGCATTTCCCCTTCCCACAGCCTACTCCCCCCAACCTATGGCAAATGGGTGACCCCCAGAGGACTGCAACCTCCCCTCTGGGATGCCTCATCACCTGGATCGGGGTTGGGCAGGACAGGGACCCTGACTCTCCCTGTGCCTGCACCTGAGGCCCATCTGGGGGTGAGAGCAGCAGTGGTCCCTGGACTGAGATGGGAACAGGGAGGCTGCATGGGGCTCGGGGTTCCAGGGGCCAAACAGCAGGCAGAAGCCGTCCTGTGGAAACAGGCAGGAGGTGTGACCACATGAAGAACCAAAGCTCCACATGTCCCCACACAACTCCATCACTTACAAAACACAAATTAAAGATAGAATGAAGAATTTCAAGATGGCAGTCACAAGCATTAAAATCCAAGGGGCCCTGGGGGCTGCACTGGTTGCCCAGGGCCCATGAAGCTGGCGCTGAAGGAGGTAAGTGGCACAGATGGGATTTGAGGTCAGGTCAGTCTGGTGTCAAAATCCACATACTTTGGGGGCTGGCCCGGTGGCGCACTGCTACAGCGTGCCGCTTGGGAGCGCGGCGGCGCTCCCGCTGAGGGTTCGGATCCCACATACAGACCGGTTCCCGCTCACTGGCTGAGCGAGGTGCGGGTGCAGCACCGAGGGTTGCGATCCCGTTGCCGGTCCCGGTCCGGTACGGGCGCGACACTGAGGGTTGCGATCCATTGCCGGACAAGAAAAAAAAGACAAAAAGGGGAAAAAAAAAATCCACATACTTTGCAGTGTATGTGAGCACACTCAGGGCAATGGGGCTCAACCACGGTGGGCACTGAAGGGTAATGGCCAAGGGTGAATGGAAACTCTGCTGGGCATCTTTACAAAACTGTCTTTGCATACACACCAAGGGAAAGACAGACAGTGCCTTCTGAAGATACTTCTTTTCATGAACTTTCTCATAAGGAGTGCACATTCTGCTTCACAGGCGTAAGTTATTCAGTGTCACTATGTAAAGAAACACGTTCTTTGCTACTTTAGAATAAACGTCTCTGGTGATGGGTGCCCTTTAGGTCACAAAGATGATTGCCAGAGGGAGGAGACTGTATGCCTTCTCCATACACACTCCCAAAGTGAGGTATACACCCATTGTGGCCAGGAAAAGGCAATAAACCTTAGTCCTCAGGCCCACTCTTAATCAAGGATTTGAGACAGCTATAAAACCCACATGTCAAGTCTGACTTTTCTACTGTCAGACCAAGACTGCCCTTTGAAAACTGGAAAATACTACACAAGCCTTAGACTGACTTCTTATTGCCAGACTCTGGAGCCAGAAAGCCTGGGTTCATTCCTGGTCCCGCCCCTACCGACCTATATAACCTCAGGCAAGTCACTTCAGGCTCTCTAAGACTCGGTTTTCTCACCTGTAAAATGGGCATGACAATACTATTTGCCTCACAAATTATAAGAACTAAGTGATTTAACACGTATGAAGTGCTTAGAACAGCATCCCTTGGGGGAAAAACTGTTGTTATTAATAAATCTGCCCTATATTTGGAGCCATGCATGAGTACTGCAATCTTTGGTTTGTCATTGTGATTTTTGCTGTGCTCCAAATTATTTTGAAGATACAGCAATAGGAGGGGATTAAAAATCTTCAAAACTGGCTTTATGTGATTTATGACTAAGGTATCTCCGCGCTCAAAACCCTTCAAAACTGGCTGAGCGCTCACCACCTGCTGCCACAGGTCTCCTGTACCTGAGCCGCCTTTCTCTCTCCCATGCCTCACCTGCTCATCTGGTGTCACTCCGTCCCTGCTTGTTCAAATGTCCCTCCTCCTCAGAGCACTGTTCCTGGCCCCCTTCCACCTGAAGGCCTCCCTAATCACCACACTGGAAGCAACAGTTGCTGGCTCTGACGCTGCAGGCTGGTGCCGGGCATCAGGGACTTCTGTGTTCATCTTTTACCCCAGTCACAGCCTTAAACCCCAGGAGACCATTGGCTTCTTAGGCCAATGCATGATCCCACCATCATCACCGCATCCCTCCTGCAAAGAATGAGGTTCCCTTACGTGTTTAGCTTTCTCACAGGTCCAGCAACCAGCTTACATCTGCGCACACTTGATAAATATTTCCTGTATGATTATTTCAACATGCAATGGGACAGGGCTTCATTTTGTGTAACTATAAACGGATCGGTCATGGGACTTTGCTCATTGGGTGGTTCTAAGGATTTCACTGAGTTAATGCACATCACGTACTTACCATGGTGTCTGCATATTTAAAGTACTACCTACCGTTGGTTCGATAAGGACACACAAACTGCTGCTGCCGCCTGCCATGCACGCCTGCTAGTGCTCCACCTCCTTGCCCACCAGTTGAAGGGACGGTCCCGTCCCCTCCAGCCCTCCCCCAGGCCTACCTTGCGTTTCCTCTTGGATTTTGTGGGACAGGGCTTCATTTTGTGTAACTATAAACGGGATCGGTCATGGGACTTCACTCATTGGGTGGTTCTAAGGATTTCACTGAGTTAATGCACATCACGTACTTACCATAGTGTCTGCATATTTAAAGTACTACCTACCGTTGGTTCGATAAGGACACACAAACTGCTGCTGCCGCCTGCCATGCACGCCTGCTAGTGCTCCACCTCCTTGCCCACCAGTTGAAGGGATGGTCCCGTCCCCTCCAGCCCTCCCCCAGGCCTACCTTGCGTTTCCTCTTGGATTTTGGCAAAGCCTTTTCGGCCGGCGGGTCCGATGGGAGACTCGGCGGTGCGCTGTCAGCGTCCTTGGCCGCAGGAGCGCTCAGGACCCCTGGCTCCTGAGGCAGGTGTTCTGGGACTCTGGACAGGAGGGTCAGGTCAATTTTGACCCAGAGAGACCTGACCTCGTCACTGTCCTTCAGCGGGGAGAGAAGTTCGTTCCGGCCGAAGGGGACCAGCGTGTAGAACTGCTCCTCCAGCTCCTTGGCGATGTCACTGGTGGTCCTGGCGTTGATGGAGCCGACGGGGGCTCGGGGGCCGCCGCCGCTGACGCTGTTGGCCGCCTCCTTCAGTCTCGGGTCAACCCCGGAGGCGGCGGCGGCGGTGGCCGCGGTCTGCGCTTTGGACAGAGGGTACTCGTCCTGCTCCGACTCCAGGTCCGAGTCCGAAGAGGAGGATGAGGACGACTCTGTCTCAATGAACTCCTTGGACTTGGGGACGATCCTGCTCAGCCCCCGCGTGCGGCGCTTCTCGCAGGTCACCGTGGAGCGCAGCTCCTTGCGGTGGCTCGTCCTGCCGTTGCCGCAGGGCCTGGCTTTGGGGGGCTCTGGGGGCCCCACCGCGCCGGCCCCCAGTGCGTCCGCGGCCGCAGGCTC